ATTTTCTGTATGTTCAAAAAAATTACATTTTCTTATTTTAAAATCAAACTTCAATTTTTATTCAACATTTTTCTCTGAGTTATGCAAGGCCTCATAATTTTCTCACTAAGAACAAATTTTAAGGTCCAGTCACCATTCCAAGAAACAAAATAAATTACACTTTGGTAAATGTATAAAAGATTTAAATCTCACATGCAGAATGAGAACTGTTTGATCAATTGCCATTTGCATATTTAATATTCACAGTCAAATATTCAGAGTCAAATCATTAAGGTTTTTCAGGTGTAATCAACATGGGGATTTCATATGGCGATTTCATCAACTAACAATCATCGGTTATTTTCTGTCGGGAAATCAAGGTAAATTTCAAATGTTAAATGATAGCTAAGGCTTTGATGACCTCTGCTTTGGGATGATGAAGCTCCTTAATAAAATATCAATAGGCTGGTATATTAAATTAAAGGTCAAGTTTCACGCAACAAGATAAGTATAACGAGTGAAAGAAACGATCCGGGTAATATTCATATACTAAAAGCAATAACATAAAAAAGTTAAGATCTCTTCCGAATAAATCAGAAATATATTAGTATATGTTAGGGATCTGAGGCATGGAGTTCTCAAGCATGCGGCTTTGGAAAATTTGAATCGGAAGGTTCTGCTATATATATGCTCCTATATAAAGGTACATATGCACTTAATACTGCGGCTCACATGGCATATGTGACTGACTGCTGTCACACAACCACCTTTCTCATCGCCACCTTGGTGTTCCTATGTACCAAACAAATCGAGCTGCAAGTGCGTTGCGCTCACTCGTTTGCGCTCATTGTTTAAATTAATTATTTTTTCTCTTTAGGCACCAATTCCTGTATACTTCAATGAGGTCACCACGCTGGCGACGATAACTGAAGCTTGGAAGCTTCATAATCTTTAATCTTTCTTCATAAGACTTGCCCTTTAAGCCAGAAATTATCCTTGTTGCACGTCTTTGAACACTCTCTACTAAATTATGGTCCTTTTCAAGTCTCGGTAACCACACAACGTTTCCAAACTCTAGGTTCGGGCGCACGACAGAGGTGAACAACGGCTTCATCATTTCTACATCTAGGTACTCGTAGGAGCGTCTGATCAGCCCAAGCAGTTTATTGGGTTTATTAACTTGCGTTTCAGTATGCCTAGAAAATTTTAGCTCCTCGTCGACACAAACTCCAAGATCTTTTTCCACGCAAGACTTCTCAATTATAACCCTCTCGATGCAACCATGTCTTCTCATGCTGTAAGCTTGCTGTTCATTGTTCTTGCCGAGGTGAAGTACATTACACTTGTCTGCATTGAAACGCAGCTTCTACGCATCAGCCCAGTCAACTAAACTTTCAAGATCATTTTGCAGTTGCCTTTTATTTGACGCATTTTTAACTGTATCATAAACTTTTTTATTATTGGCATACATGGAGCACACGCTTGACACTACTTCTGGTAGATCGTTTATAAAGGCGACAAACAAAACAGGCCCTAGAACGCTTCCTTGCGGTACGCCACTGCGCACAGTTGCCCAGTCTGATACGGTTCTGTTAATGCTGGCACGTTGTCTTCTGCCTACTAGTAAATTCCTTATCCATTGGAGTACATTTCCCTCTATACCCAAAGAATATCCCTGTACTCCAATGGATAAGGTAATATTCCCTTTATACCCAAAAACAACGCTTAACTTTGTCGAATCTTAAATGATTCAGGCCAATTTAGAAAACGAATTCATTTATTCACAATGGGCTCCTGCGAGCGATACTCGATATGTCCGCTTCGTTTTCATTCGCCTTGAGCGTCATCTTGAGCAGGGTGGCCCAGTGGTTAAAGTTCAGAGTCTCAAGATTGGAGCAGAAAGGTGCGGGTTCGATCCCAGCTCTGTGCGCCAGTTTCTGGTCAGAATCGGCAAGGAGGCCGGGCGGTTAATTTAGCACAGCAGAATTTGAGCAGTTGTAGCGGATCTCGCTACATAAAACTAAATTACGCATATCATACCTCGCTACATAGAACTAATTTTATGTAAATCATATCTCGCTACGTAGAACTAATTTTTGTTTCTCATACTATTATTAATATTAATACTCTTAACAGTACTTTTATTACATTACTTTCACTTATCGTATTAATAAGTAGAAAATCATCGTAAGAATAGTTCAGAGAAATCTCTCTTCCGCCGTGGCAACAGCCGACGCCTCACTTCCTTTATAGCTTCTCAAAATCTTAACGGTCTATTTGCCTTCTGACTTCGAGCGGACAACATCTCGCGTAAGCTCTCTAACTTAGAAACTCTGCCGTAGAATAGCACTCATTCAATTTGTTAAGTGTAAGAGTAAAGTTAGTTCAGAAGTCGGAGTCATTGCAAGTTGAGTAATTAAATTAACGTATTTTTCATTAACATAGCTCACGTGGCTTTAGCTCATTTGTGAAATGGTGTCGTGAATAGTGTATTAACATTGCCTTATTTCGCAGTATCACAACATCGGCTAACATTCGGCAACCAGGACCCTGCAACGCGAACCAACAACCTGCAACACAACACAACCCGCAACCAGCGTCAACCCACAACCTGCACCCTGCGACCTGCTGCCGTAACCTGCAACCTGCACTCCTGCAGCCGGGAACCTCGGCGTCCCAAGCCAGCATTTTTCCCGCCAAGCACGCCACCATCTTGCCGCGCTCCTACCCCGTCCCTGTGTGCAGACGCTTCTCCGCGAATATTCAGTTAACTTATATTCAGTGAACACTTGCTGTGAACTTATTCAGTTAACTCATTCAGTTAATTCATTCAGTTAACTTATATTCAGTGAACACATGCTGTAAACTTATTCAGTTAACTCATTCAGTTAACTCATTCAGTTAACTTATATTCAGTGAACACATGCTGGGAACTTATTCAGTTAACTCATTCAGTTAACTTATATTCAGTGAACACTTGCTGTGAACTTATTCAGTTAACTCATTCAGTTAATTCATTCAGTTAACTTATATTCAGTGAACACATGCTGTGAACTTATTCAGTTAATTCATTCAGTTAACTTATATTCAGTGAACACCTACTGTGAACTTATTCAGTTAACTCATTCAGTTAATTCATTCAGTTAACTTATAGTGAACTTATTCAGAGAACTTTCGCTAGACATACTCTGTGAGTTGCATCAACGCACGTTCAGTGCAATTTCGTATAAACTCTCAACGCGCACGCTCAGTTAACTTTGTCCACCTCACAACGTGCATCGAATAACGTCCCCAACGTCTCACCACGCAACCACGCGTAAATCCGCTCACCACGCAACCACGCGTAAATCCGCTCACCACGCAACCACGGTGGCCCGTCGACCTGCACCTTCTGCCTGGGCTACCAATTCCTCCTGCATCATCACATCGAGCAGGTCACGTGAGCTAAGCCAATAAATCTACTAATCAATTAATTGTGTGTTTGCTTAACCAACCAAATTCGTCCTGCCGATCACTATGCTTCTGTCTGTCTTTAGTGAATAATTCAAGTTAGCTACCTAAGCTGTTCAAATTCTCTGATTCATTGGAGTTAAACGCATTTAATGTGGAGTGCTAAGTTATAAACCCCAACACAGACTGAATCGACAATTCTACGGACCCGCCTGCGGACTCGCGCAACTGGGCCACTCATAATTCCTTAAATACTCAACGGATCTGTATGAATTTCGGAATATGAGTATTAATTATCGATACGCTGCCGCAGGAATTATTACAGATTTTTACATGAATTATTTTTAATTAAACCCAATAAACGTATTTTTTAAGCAACTGGGCCACTCATAATTCCTTCAATACGTAACGGATCTGTGTGAATTTTGGAATGTGAGTATTAATTATCGATACGCTCCCGCAGGAATTATTACAGATTTTTACATGACTTATTATTTGGTTAGGTTGAGTTAGGTTAGGTTAAGTTAGGATAGGTTAGGTTAGGAAATAATTCATGCAAAAATCTGTAATAATTCATGCGGTAGCGTATCGATAATTAATACTCACATTCCAAAATTCACACAGATCCGCTAAGTATTGAAGGAATTATGAGTGGCCCAGTTGCATTAAAAATACGTTTATTGGTTTTAATTAAAAAATAATTCATGTAAAAATCTGTAATAATTCCTGCGGCAGCGTATCGATAATTAATACTCACATTCCAAAATTCATACAGATCCGTTAGGTATTGAAGGAATTATGAGTGTCCCAGTTGCGCGAGTCCGCAGGCGGGTCCGTAGAATTGTCGATCGAGTCCCACACAGTGAGTTGCGAGTTCGAGACCGCAAAATGCTGTGAATGTTATGCGATGTTAAGAATCGACGACAGGCCTACGGCCTAATAAACGCTGAAAGCGCTATATATATTATATTATCCGATCGCATCGACACTTTTAATTAACATAGTAATATTGGCGTTATTCTTATCTACCGGGTTGTCCTAGCGCACTTATATGTAAGCTTATCCGTGTCTAATGTGCTGACAGGAATACAAATTTGCATAAAATTCTGTTACATATTTCACCTATTGACTTGAATATTTTGCAACTATATTGTATTACATTCACAATCTACATTATACCTGTACGCTGTCTCTCTCGTTGCTGAGTGACTAAATTCCGTTTAAAAACACAGCACCTAAGTTATTCGAGATCGGCTTGGATTTTCAATCAAACTGTGTAATTTGAGCTAAATAGTGTAGATATATACGAATGAAATGGGGAGTGTATTATCCATGTCATTATCAACGTCTCTCGATTGTTCAAATCGCCAATGAATAATGAAAGGTGAATTTAAGCGAATTTCTTTTGATTTATATTTTTGCAGGCAGTACTGTAGTTTCGGAGATGCTTTCACATCTCATTAATAATTTTATCATTGAAGATATTTCCATATTTCTTTTGTCATCTTGACTGGTTTGAAACGTGTGGAATTTCACCTGGTTCGTTGAAGTATCTTCCGACGTGACCTTAATCAATTCCGAGTCAGTCGTTGGCAAGATGGATGACGACGATGTGTTGAATCAAGGTAGGCTATTGCAGATTTATAGCTTTTTTATGTAGTTAATTGAGAAAATTGTTTTTACATTTTCATACATTCTCGGATATCACCTATTGGTTCCTGTTGATTTATCGTTTTGACTCTACATAGTGAAATTAAAAAACGTACAAGTACAGTCGTGCACATTCTAGGTAGCTAAGTCCTTCCCATTTTTCTTGATAATCTAGGTATTATGATTCAATAGATGTAACTTGGACTTTAGTATGTAGATAATGACAAAGCCTATTTTTTTCTATTCTAAGGTGGAAAATGAAGGTTATTGTTACTGTCAACAAAATGTTTGCACCAGCCACCAAGACCAAAACCATAGTGGCAAAGAACAATTTTTCAATGCCCTACCTCAACTTCAACTTTCAAGTACATTTTTGAGTCCTATAAGCATAGTGGCAAACCAGAGCTTTTTCAGAATCAGTTCATTTTTAATTTTCTCATTTACTCAAGATTTAAACCAATTTCTTAAGTATGATAATCATAGTGACAAACCACAGATTTTTTAGAATCAGTTCATTTTTAATTTCCTCATTTACTCAAGATTTAAACCAATTTCTAATGTATGATAGTGCTGGTATCCAGGATACTTTACTGGTCTACTTATAGGACTCAAAAATGAACTTGAGGGAGAGTCTAAAAAACTCTCTGCTTTGCCACTATGGT